GGGCTCTCAGTTCTCCCTGGAGTCTTCTCTTGTCCAGGTGAACCCCCCCAGCTCTCCCAGCCTGGCTCCAGAGCAGAGGGGCTCCAGCCCTGGGCTCATCTTGGTGCCTCCTCTGGACTCTCTCCAGCAGCTCCACATCTTTCCTGTGCTGAGGCCCCCAGAGCTGGACCCGGCACTGCAGGAGGGTCTCACAAGAGCAGATCAGAGGGACAGAATCATCTCCCTTGGCCTCCTGATCCTGCTCCTCTTCTGGTGCAGCCCAGGACGCCGTTGACCCTCTGGGCCGCAGGATTTTCCCACTTCTTTTCCAGTTCACCTCTCCTAACTCGGCCTCTGCACGTCACAGCCGCAGATAAAACACATACAGGAAGGAAAATTCCACTGAACATTTGTGCTTTTCACTCTCTCCTTGTTTCCAAACACCACTCTCGAAGCATGTGGTGCCAAGTTACATAATATATATATATTAGTCCTCCCTCTCCTGTTCCTGGGTCCTGCACAGGAGCAGATTTGGGGTCTTTAAGGGCAGCTGAAGAGGAAGAAACACGTGGTTAATTCTTCCCTGTGCATCCCAGAGAGCAGAACAGCTGAGCTGGGCTGGGGACAAACACTTAGTAGGAGAAAACATAAGATTTTCTGGACAGGTGTGTTGCTCCAGGATCATCTATCAGAGGAGGGGTATTTGGACGTGACACAACACGAAAAAGTGCAGCTTGAATTCTTTCAGGGCTCAGACATCGTGTGTTACCTGTCCAATGTGAGAAACCAAAGAGAATCTGTTTAACACCCTCCTCTGGATAATAACCAGTGGTTGTTGGTGACATGGAAAAAAACCCTCTGGGATTGAACCTGTCAGAACTCCGTGATCAGTTCAAAACTTTGCTGTTTGCCGTGTGATATTTGTGTTTGTAATTTTATCTCTAGACAGAGCTAAACCTGTTTCTCTCCTTGCCAAAGGAAACGATAGATATAAATCATCTACCAAAAAAAAGTGAGGCACGGGGCCATTGTTTATGTGATATGGAACAATTTCGTTCTTGGTAATTATTTATTTTGGTCCAACTACAAAGAGGTAAGAGCCTTATTTATTTTTTTTTTTTTAGAAAGACAGGAAAGAAAGCAAACTTAAAGCATTCCATTTTCCTTGGCATTTTCACACTGATAATGGGCTTGTTCAGCGTTTAAGATTTAATGGGAAGAGGAAGTGAAAAGAGGCAAATTCTGCCTTACCCCCCCTCTGCTAAGGGACATTTGCTGCTTCCTATGTATTTCTAAGTGCAATTTTTACTCTTATTTCCAGTATGACTGTCAAAACCCATCCTCGATTCTTCACAGGGCAGGAAATGAAATTCTGCTGTTGGGTTTTTCCCCTGTTCCTTCCTTTGTTGTGGTGTTGTGTTTTCATCCCCTGGTCCCGCAGCCCCAGCTCACCCACAGTGTCCTGCTCACACCTTGCAGCAGGTTTCACGTGGCTACAGCCCAGCTGGAGCCACCAGACCCCAGGACTGCAGTGATGCTGCTGTTGCAGTCCCATATTTTGTGCTAATGCTGCCACCAAAAACGTGGTGGCACCTTGGCTGTGCTGCTCCTTCTTCACCACGGGCTCCTTCCTCCATCTCCGCTTGCCAAGGCCAGCATTTATTTGATCCAGCTGAAAATTAAATAAACCCAGAACTCCTTCATGAACATAGAATTCTGGAATACCCTGAGCTGGAAGGACCCCCAGGATCACCAAGTCCAAGCCCTGGCCCTGCCCAGGACACCCCAACACTCCCCCCTGTCCCTCAGAGCGTTGTCCAAACCCTCCTGAAGCTCTGGCAGCCTTGGGGCCGTGCCCACTGCCCTGGGGAGCCTGGGCAGTGCCCACC